CCTTGAAAGTAATGTATTTATATTGAATCGGACGGTCATTGTACAGCGCCATCTAGCGTTCTTCGTTCTATAGTTGTTGTATTATAGAGAGCGTTGTTGTAACAGGAAGTTGCGACATATATAAATAATATTATTAGAACAGAGAAAAAACGGATGTACATAAATTTGTTGATGGTATAGCAATTTATATACATATAACAAAATATAAAAATAAAAAATGTTGTCGAAAAAAAAAATTTTTTTTGGGATCCATCCTTAACACTTAGAGGTATAAAAATAAGTTATAAACCTATTCTCAGACCTACTGAATATACAAATAAAATTTCATCTAAATCGGTCAAACCGTTTCGGAGGACTATAAACAGGAACCTGTGACACGAGAATTTCACCTAACCTAACCTTATCGAGTAACAATTTACAACAGACGATTATATCATAAATTATTATTATTACATTTCAATAACTTAAACATAGAGTACTGAAGTAATCCAAACATTTGCTGGCTTTACATTTATAATATAAGTCGAATTGATGTTTGTTCCAGGAAGGTGGTGGTCACCCAGATATTTTACAAAGAGCACTGGTCCCGAAGGTGAATAACGAAAAATGCCACCTGGCCTACGCCCCTGAATACACCATCACATCCAATATGCTCTGCGCTGGATATCCCGAGGGCGGCAAAGATGCTTGTCAGGTATGCTAATAAAGCAAATAAATATGAATAATAATATCTCAAGATAATTCACACAGAGCCATCTGGTCTGAAGCTAAGCAATAGTTGAGTTATGGGTACCAGACGACTAATATAAAAATATAATATACATAGACAATGCCCAGAACGATACACCCAATCTTATGAATACAAATGTTTGTATTCTGAGAGGACTCGAACTCGCGACCAACGGAAGTAAGGCAATAACATCATTTTACAACTTTTTACCATTGTATAACTTCATGTACAATTCTTTACCCGCAAAAAATTGACCCGATTTTTTTTTAATAAATATTCTTGATGTATTTAGACGTTAATATATAGAGAGATAAAATATGTTTTATGTGCATTGTACAATGATAGATGATACAATTAATTAGTACTACTACTAATTAATTATTAATTATTTACACATATACATATGTTTAGTTAATACTACTATTAACTAAACATATGTATATGTGTAAATACAATAAGGCGACTTATGGCTGAAACTTATGGTGAGTGACACCCACCATTTCAAATAGAAAAATTAAAAATAATGATTTTTATATCAAGGAAAATATGTTTGCAGGGTGATAGCGGTGGTCCCCTAATGTATAATAACAAATTGGCCGCTGTTGTATCTTGGGGTATCGGATGTGCCAGACCCGGCTATCCTGGTGTTTACGCGAAAGTATCAGCATTCCGAGGGTGGTTGGACGAAAAGATCACGTATTTGAGAATAAAAAACGTACTACGAGGCTTACCGTATGCAATTTATGAATAAATAGACATTTTTATATTTTTTTAATAAAATCGCGTTATAACTTGAATCTATATTGTTTTTTTTATTAATAGTAATTCACTATTCTGACTTAGATCCCAAAGTTGGAATCCCATGTAATAAAACTCTTACTATGCCTATTACTCGATTAAACTGATGAGTAGAGTGATACCAAAGAACTAAGATTTCCTTCCTTGGCCAACGAGATCTTAATAAAATTTACGCCATTACTCAGGATCCATTAGGCAGACTATGCAGCGAGCAAAAAGACTCTGGGCAAGTTTCGGCTCGAACTACTGTCCTTACTCCTACTTGTCCTTATTGCTCAAAGTCTCATAACATTGAAACGTGCAAAGAATTTAGTTTAGTCACAGTAGAAGTTCGATAGAAGTGGATTATTGCTAACTAACATTGCTAACAAAGTCTGTTACAAATGTCTCCAAAGCAATCTCTATTTCTTTCGCCGCTGTACTCTTAAGCATTGTCAGGTGAAAGGGTGTAAGAGTAGATTAAGCCTTAACTCCCTACTCCACAGAGCCACCACCCCGATAAAAACTGAGAGCGACACAAGTCCGTCGTGTGACGATACAGCGCCGAGTTCGTCGGCAACCGTCACCCACAGTCGATCGCTCTCTACGTCCCAGCGTCCACTACTGAAGGTAGTTCCCGTCACAGTAGCCGGCCCTAAAGGTAGCCTCGATACTTTTGCCTTGCTAGATGATGGCTCTACAACCACCCTATTAGACTCATCAGTAGCGTCCGCCATAGGTGCAAAGGGACGAAGAAGCCATATTAAGATTGATGGTGTAGGAGGTAGGTCAACCGAGTCCGATATATCCCTAGTCGATATCACTATCAAGGGACGTTATAGTATGGAGTGGCATTCTTTAAAAAATGTTCGTTCTATTTCTAACCTGAACCTTGGTCCATAACATATTGAATTAAAAGGTTTACATTATTTATCATATTTGGTTGATTTCATATGTTACGAACATGCTAAACCGTTGCTTTTAATTGGTATCGACAACTGGAACCTCACCCTGCCCACAGAGATCCACCAGAGCTCTAAGTCTCAGCCTGTAGCCGGTCTCACTCCTCTTGGTTGGGTCCTCTTCGGTTTCAGCTCGAGTAAAACCAAACCAATCGTTTTCGTAAACCATACCATTTCTACAAATCCGTCAAACAGCTATGAATCGTTAGAAAACCTCATAAAAAGAACATTACAAACTAGATTCTATAGGCATTGTAGCTAAAGATTATAGTATCCCTACTGAGCCTGACTCTAGCAAATCTAACGCTCTTTGCGTTAGATTTGCTAAAGTCCACCACTACGTCTTCCTTCAGGGCGATTTGAACCTTGTTCCGCTTTAAAAGCCTAGAACGAAAACTCATAGGCGATAAGTCGCTTGCAGAATTATATAGGCAACAGATAAATGCCAACATTGTCAAGGGTTATACAGAAATATGCACAGAACCTGCAGACCCCTCCAAAATAACTTAAATTAGGGTTGTACACGACGCAGAAGCCACTTTTGAAGGTGTTAGTCTCAATTCTATGCTTTTAGCAGGTCCCGATTTACTGCAACCTCTGTTAGCAATCCTGATGCGCATTCGTGAATTCCGTATCGCTCTCAACGGCGATATTCGGGAAATATTTTACCAAATTAAAATCCGGAAGGAGGACAGAGACGTTCAACGTTTTCTGTGGCGTAATGAACCATCCCAACCGATTTTGGAATACAGGATGTCGTCGAAGGTTTTCGCCCCAGTCCGTGCACAGCTCTCTACCTGAAAAAGAAAAACGCATTAGACCATAAAAAAGAATTTCCGATGGTCGTAGATGCACATGTCGTAGACAGAGAAGCACATGCAAACACAGTATTAATTGTCAACGAATTACGGCAGAACTATTTCATCTTCGGTATACGTCCAGCCGTATAGAAAGTCGCCAGTTCTGGCCAGTTACTGTATCCATTGGCCGACGAACCGAAAAACGCTATATGGCACTCTTCACTTGCCTGACAGTACGAGCCATCTACCTAGAAATTGTTGGCAGCTTATCCTCGGATGCGGCAATCATGGCTCTACGTCGCTTTATATCACGTGGATGCCCAATTAAAATTTACTCAGACAACGGGACAGCCTTCGTCGGAGCAAATAATATACTGAGACAACTCTACCATGACGACGTAGTCAATGATGCTGCCAATAAAAGGATCCAGTGGCACCATTCCACCTTCCGAAGCGTAAAGACAGCTCTCTCCGCAATACTAAAAGAAAAATCCCCACGAGAAGAGGTACTACACACACTCCACTTGGAAGCCGAAGCCTTAATAAACTTAAGGCCTCTCACCCACGTCTCTGTAGACCCTAAAGACCAAGAAAGTATAACGCCATTTCACTTTTTAATTGGTTGCTCCTCTCCTTACCAATCATACGGAGAGCTGGATGAACGCGACCTTATCCGTCGAGTAAGTTGGAAAAGAGGCCTTCGTCTTGCTGATCACTTTTGGGCTAGATAGTTGCCGGAATACCTTCCCACACTGATTCTGAGACGACCAGGAGAAAAACCAGATCTTAAAGTCGGAGACCCGGTTCTTATTGCCGACGGCAACCTCCCGCGCGGTTCATGGCCACGGGGCCGTATCTTAAAAACATTCCTCGGTCCCGACAAAACGATCCGTGTGGCAGAGATCGCCACCAAAGGAGGTACCCTCAAAGGAGGTACCCTTGTTTATTTATTAGAGAACGAATTATTATTATTAGTACTATTAGGGTAGGTGTACTATACTTTTGTAACATTGGTGGGTTGAATTTTTTTTTTTTTAATAACACAGGAGACAAACGAGCATGCGACTCACCTGCTGGTAAGTGATTACCGCCCATGAGCACCCGCAACACCAGGGGAATTGCAAGTACGTTGTCGGCCTTTTAAAAAGAAATAAGCTCTTTTCTTGAAGGTTTCAATATCGTATCGGTTCGGAAATACCATAAGTACTACTTTTTTATAATTGAACCCACATTTCGTCGTGAGATATAGAATATTATCTATCTATGCACTGTTAAATATATAATAGGATTGTTACACATAATATTTTTTTTACATAGGTTTAAAGTAAAGTATAGACCTTTGAGGAAATATTACTAAAATTCACGATAATCATTTCAATCAATTTGAATTGAGTCATCTATTTGTCGAGATATCATTTTTTTATCAAGGAATAGCGTGTTTACCCTAATTCTTTATCTCTTGAATATACGTTCACACGTTTTACGTAAGCATGAATTGGGTGGTATAATTTGTAAACAAGGCAAGATTATCAAGATATCTGAGTATATCTATAACCACTTGGTGATTTCAACAATTGACTGATCAAAATACAATTAACTGATAACAGTGAACCTTCAGACTAATTCTGACAGATAGTCAGAATTAGTGTGAAGTTTCACTTTTATCAGTTAATTGTATTTGTATTGACCCAATAATCTTTTGTAATTTTCAGGTATAAATGCTTGCTTATAGTTAAAGATGGTGGCCAGTTATTAAGTCAACATGTACAAGTTCATGTTAGGAGTTGCGGTCTTTGGGTTCGTTGGTGAGTTGTAAATTATCAATTTAAATATTTTCCAATATAATTGGTGAAAGTTTCTTAGATAGGTAGGTTAGGTAGATGCTTGTTAATTTAGTTTCTTTTGTCTACTACGTTCAGTTTATTATGGTTATCTAAATATAACCAATGTGAGATTATTATATGTACATATTATCTTACATATGCTTACCTAATACACTACTGGATCGAATAATTTTTTTTTTAATTAGTCTTTGTAGGTAAAGATTTGGAATGGATTATCCAAAAGTTGTAGTTTTTGAGTTAATTCGGTATTGTACTGGGAGTGTGATAGAAATGTCATCATTATCAAATAACAACAATAACATATCAGATTCAAATAATTTTAGTCACGTATGCGGCTCAAATTTTTGTATTTAATCTCTATATATGACAAGTAAGAGAATATACTGTATGTAATATATATTTTTCAAATGTCGTCCAGAGTAGACCTAGTTTAATAAACAAATGTATGTTGACCATAATAATGACGGTCTCAGTAGTCCAGCGGTTTAGCGCACCGCCTTACTTTCAATGTACACGGGTTCGATTCCTTGCACGGCACAAACATTTGTATTTATGAGTGTGATAGTTTGTATCGATCTGAGTATTTTCTACGTATAATGTGTATGTATTTACGAAAAAAAAATGTATTTGTATCAGTTATCTAGTAACCATAATACAAGCTTTAGCTAGCTTAACTTGAGTCTAGATAACGCTGTGTGAATTATCCTCTGAGATTATTATTATTACTATAATTGTAACCAAAGTGTTTTTTTTTACAATCAGCATCAGCACCAACACTCAAAAACATAGAAAATGTGAGAATAGTAGGTGGTGAAGATATAGAAATATCCGATGCACCATACCAAGCCTCGGTAATACACTATAACCGTCATGTCTGCGGAGGAACCATCATAGCAAGAGATATAATAATAACTGCAGCCCATTGTATGATGGTGTAAGTTGTATTTTTTTAATTTTTACTAGACTCATAATTTATCAGATATCATTTACAAATTCTCGTTTTTAGTATATTTAGTATATAGCAATACCGTATCAGTCATCGATTACCATTCTGAATGACATGTCATGCCATTGTATTCTGTAATTTTACTGTTACCTGCTGCAACTGAAACATATATTCCAAAGCAAAATACTTGGCAGTTGAGTCTTAATCTTAAAAAGCCGTTATTTTTAATGCTTGGTGTTATCAGTAGGTTTTTTAACTGAATAATATCAGTAACATTAATTTATCTCATCTCCTCTTTTAAATAAGGATTAGGATATAAGACCAAAATTATGTACGTCATTTTTTTTTTAAAAATCATATACTGTGTACGGAATATTATTTAATTTGCCTATATGACATGTGCACATTTTCTTCTAAATTATTTAGATCAATCAGACCCAACCTATTGCTCTGCATTTCTAGGCCATCTTCTCGGTTATATAATTTGTAATAACGTTATTTTATTTCTTTTTTTTATTTGCGAAACGTCTAATATAATGTTTCATTTGTGTTCAACAACAACGTGTAATTGTTGCACTAAAAGAATGTAATAAGAATCTTCTTATTACATTTTATTATTTGCTAGAACACACATGTGCGTATAATCATAAGAGGGTAGATAATATTAGAATAGATATAGAAGATTTAACTGAATTTGCCTCTGCTATAAATAACTCTATTCAATTATATTCACCTATAGCAGATTATTTAGGTTCTAGAAAAAAATACATTATATATTATAAAGTCTGAATAAACATAGTTTGTTGTTTCATTAAAAGTGTTAGATTGAGTATTTTTTTAGTACGTAGTCAATTAAGAAATTTCTCAGTTTGGACTGTTTCAAAGGTTTCTGCTTTATTTATTTATTAAAATGACATTATAAAAACATAATTATTCGCTCTTTCATTTCTTATTCAACGGAAAGTTTTCTCGCGTTTTTATTTATCCTATTTATAAAGTATTTCGTTATGAATAATAGAGGAGAATAAATTTTAAGTGTTATTTCATTTTTTTGTCTATTTTTCGGAGACTTTAAGGCTGATTGTATGAAGTATTTAATTAAAAATCCCACTCAAAATCATGTCGTCATTTAGGACCTTTTGGTCTTTATGCAAGTCATATATAATATCAATATCCTTACCGTACAGTTTGGCTATCTCCTTTTGTTAAAAAGAATTGGCTATAAACTCAACTAGTACACTTTTTATGTTAGTATTATTTTTAGGCAGTTTCAATCTTTAAATATTACATAACATTAAAGTTGTGTATATGTCTAACAGTTATAAAAGAAAAATTCTATTGTCTAAACATACATAAAATGAAAAGTACCTAACGATAATTTCTAACATCATTTTATGAATCTTCAAATCATTATTTATCTCTAAAATTATATTCATATTTGAAATACTATTGTCTTTACATTGATTTATATGGCATTGAGCAACTAAATTGAATTAATATTATTTCAAATTCATTTAAATAACAAAGAATTCATTTGATAGGTCTAGACTGTGACAGAAAATTGATATAAATGACGATTAAAAAAAAGAAACATTGGCAAATGATGTTGTGGTGAATACAATGCTTGAATGCGTAAATTCTGCTCAGTATACGTGAATTCAACGTGGTAGGTTCGAGCCTCGCCTCTGATCGGTCCCACGTCCAATTCAAACGGGGATCGACATTACGACGGCCTAAGCCGAGGTCTGAACCCCTTGCGGTGCCCCTAGACTAAAGTCGTATCCGTCATGCGAGAATTGGACTTTAAATGCTCCATAAGTCCTTTCGGGTGTTTCGAGTGCCTTCTTCTTGCTTCTCCTGCCTTATGCCGTCTGCAAAAAACCCCCTATCGTCCGGTTGAGCTGTAACAAATCAGTAAACAGTATTTTTTTCGGACTACTCAGTCTGAAAAAAAAGTTCAAGTCGGCCCTCAGTATATTTTTCGCTCGCTAGCGATTGTGTCCATTTGGATATAAATAAAAAAAAATAGTATCAGTATAAGCTTGATTAGCTATCTGTGAGTGATAGTCCCATCAAAACAGGTCCCATATTAAAGATTACCAAGAACAAACACACAGACAGACAAAAAATTATAAGTTATTTTTTTTAAGTAAGTACCGTATACACTTTATATTCATGTAGTGGAAAGCTTAATTTTATCTTATTTTTCAGTCCAGACATCGAACAATATACAGTTCGCGTCGGGTCATCGTATAGCACGCATGGAGGGGATATATATCAAGTCGGGGATGTGGCCCGTCACCCAGGTTTCAGTTTCAACAAAATGGATAATGATATAGCAGTCATTTGGTTATCGACACCTATAATTTTTAACGAAAACGTATCCTCAATTGATTTGTTTGAACATGATGAGGAGTTGGAAGATGGAGAACTGGCTACGATAACTGGATGGGGAGATACTGCGGTAATTTTTTTTCTTCCTTGAAAGTAATGTATTTATTGTACAGCGCCATCTAGCGTTCTTCGTTCTATAGTTGTTGTATTATAGAGAGCGTTGTTGTAACAGGAAGTTGCGACATATATAAATAATATTATTAGAACAGAGAAAAAACGGATGTACATAAATTTGTTGATGGTATAGCAATTTATATACATATAACAAAATATAAAAATAAAAAATGTTGTCGAAAAAAAAAAATTTTTTTGGGATCCATCCTTAACACTTAGAGGTATAAAAATAAGTTATAAACCTATTCTCAGACCTACTGAATATACAAATAAAATTTCATCTAAATCGGTCAAACCGTTTCGGAGGACTATAAACAGGAACCTGTGACACGAGAATTTCACCTAACCTAACCTTATCGAGTAACAATTTACAACAGACGATTATATCATAAATTCTTATTATTACATTTCAATAACTTAAACATAGAGTACTGAAGTAATCCAAAAATTTGCTGGCTTTACATTTATAATATAAGTCGTATTGATGTTTGTTCCAGGAAGGGGGTGGTCACCCAGATATTTTACAAAGAGCACTGGTCCCGAAGGTGAATAACGAAAAATGCCACCTGGCCTACGCCCCTGAATACACCATCACATCCAATATGCTCTGCGCTGGATATCCCGAGGGCGGCAAAGATGCTTGTCAGGTATGCTAATAAAGCAAATAAATATGAATAATAATATCTCAAGATAATTCACACAGAGCCATCTGGTCTGAAGCTAAGCAATAGTTGAGTTATGGGTACCAGACGACTAATATAAAAATATAATATACATAGACAATGCCCAGAACGATACACCCAATCTTATGAATACAAATGTTTGTATTCTGAGAGGACTCGAACTCGCGACCAACGGAAGTAAGGCAATAACATCATTTTACAACTTTTTACCATTGTATAACTTCATGTACAATTCTTTACCCGCAAAAAATGGACCCGATTTTTTTTTAATAAATATTCTTGATGTATTTAGACGTTAATATATAGACAGATAAAATATGTTTTATGTGCATTGTACAATGATAGATGATACAATTAATTAGTAGTAGTATTAACTAAACATATGTATATGTGTAAATACAATAAGGCGACTTATGGCTGAAACTTATCGTGAGTGACACCCACCATTTCAAATAGAAAAATTAAAAATAATGATTTTTATATCAAGGAAAATATGTTTGCAGGGTGATAGCGGTGGTCCCCTAATGTATAATAACAAATTGGCCGCTGTTGTATCTTGGGGTATCGGATGTGCCAGACCCGACTATCCTGGTGTTTACGCGAAAGTATCAGCATTCCGAGGGTGGTTGGACGAAAAGATCACGTATTTGAGAATAAAAAACGTACTACGAGGCTTACCGTATGCAATTTATGAATAAATAGACATTTTTATATTTTTTTAATAAAATCGCGTTATAACTTGAATCTATATTGTTTTGTTTATTAATAGTAATTCACTATTCTGACTTAGATCCCAAAGTTGGAATCCCATGTAATAAAACTCTTACTATGCCTATTACTCGATTAAACTGATGAGTAGAGTGATACCAAAGAACTAAGATTTCATTCCTCTTATCCTGTAATTACAGACTGATGTTAGATCTTCTTGTTAGTCTTATTATAATTATGTTTTTATATTTGTATTCATATTAGTTTGTTTTTTCTGTGAGAGGATCAATAAAAAATCATCATTCATTCATTCATGTGTAGCTATGTCTATACATAATGTAAATAGATTTACTTTAAAATGAAAAACAGTTGATTTTATTCGAGCAAGGTGTAGAGTGTGGTGGTTTTCTATGCTTTTATTTGTGATACAATTATGCGTACGTGTGCCTATGGTGTTGTTTTGTGGTACGTACGGGTCCGTTACGATTGGGTGCGCCGAGAAGTGCCCACTATGGGCCGCCTGCTCCTGTGGCACGGCCTTGAAGGCAGCGACGTGAAGACCCTATATGGGCATCGGCACTGCAGTCCCTGCAGGTACTGCATCGCATGCAGCAGGAGTGGCAGGTGGACTGGATGGGTTCCAAGTCTCCGGCGCGCAGTTTGTTGCAATATCTTCCACCACACTCTACACCTTGCTCGGGCAGTCGCTGACGTCGCTATAAAAGCGGCCCAATCATCCAAGAGAACCTAGTGAGGCTCAGTACTAGTCTCCGTGGGGCCACGCGCGATCACGTAGCTATACTGCTAGAGGCCACGCGCGACCCTCGTGAGGTCATTCATGCTCTTGAGGTATTCTTTGCTAGACCCGAATTCATAATACTCTCAGAGATCTCGGCAATGCAAGCCCTCCCAAAAATAAGTAATAATGAGAGTATGAAGGAACTCAATCTTTTTGCTTACAAAGTACGCAGATGCACGGAACTCTTGCGACTGCTCAACCGACCAGAGTATTTGGCGTCACCCGATTTGGCCAACGAGATCTTAATAAAATTTACGCCATTACTCAGGATCCATTGGGCAGACTATGCAGCAAGCAAAGAGACTCTGGGCAAGTTTCGGCTCGAACTACTGTCCGAATTTCTTATGCTCGAGGCCAAATTATGTGTTCGATATGGAACCTATTCTGTTCAAGTAAAGGCCGAGCCGCCCAAACGTCAGTGTCACCCGCTGACGTCATGTCATAGTACCAAAGACAAAGTTGCTACTTGTCCTTATTGCTCATAGTCTCATAACATTGAAACGTGCAAAGAATTTAGTTTAGTCATAGTAGAAGATCGATGGAAGTGGGTCATTGCTAACAAAGTCTGTTACAAATGTCTCCAAAGCAATCTCCATTTCTTTCACCGCTGTACTCTTAAGCATTGTCAGGTGAAAGGGTGTAAGAGTAGATTAAGCCATAACTCCCTACTCCACAGAGCCACCACCCTTATAAAAACTTAGAACGACACAAGTCCATCGTGTAATGATACAGCGCCGAATTCGTCGGTAACCGTCACCCACAGTCGATCGCTCTCTGCGTCCTAGCGTCCACTACTGAAGGTAGTTTCCGTCACAGTAGCCGGCCCTAAAGGTACTCTCGATACTTTTGCCTTGCTAGATGATGGCTCTACAGCCACCCTATTAGACGCGTCAGTAGCGTCCGCCATAGGTGCAAAGGGACGAAGAAGCCATCTAAGCGATGGTATAGGAGGTAGGTCAACTGAATCCGATATATCCCTAGTCGATATTACAATCAAGGGACGTTATAGTACGGAGTGGCATTAGAAAATGTTCGTTCTATTTCTAATAGGTCCATAACATATAGAATGCGAGTTTGTTAAAGGTTTACATTATTTATCATATTTATTAGTTACGAACATGCTAAAGCATGTTCGTAACATATGAAATCAACCAACCGTTGCTTTTAATTGGTATCGACAACTGGAACCTCACTCTGCCCACAGAGATCCGCCAGAGCTCTAAGTCTCAGCCTGTAGCCGGTCTCACTCCTCTTGGTTCCTCCTCGGTTTTACCTCGAGTAAAACCAAACCAATCGATTTCGTAAACCATACCATTTCCACAACTGTAAATCCGTCAAACAGCTATGAATCGTTAGAAAACCTCATAAAAGAACATTACAAACTTGATTCTATATGTAGGCATTGTAGCTAAAGATTATTGTACGTATCGATTACTGAGCCTGACTCTAGCAAATCTAACGTTCTTTGGGTTAGATTTGCTCGAGTCCACCACTACGCGTTTTCCTTAAGGGCGATTTGAAACAGGTCTCCTATGGCGAGACAACTTAAAAGATGTAATAATATAAACCAATAATTATAAACTTGCCTTGTCCCGCTTTAGAAGTCTAGAACGAAAACTCATAGGTGATAAGTCGCTTGCAGAATCATATAGGCAACAGATAAATGCGAACATTGTCAAAGGTTATACAGAAATATGCACAGAACCTGCAGACCCCTCCAAAATAACTTGGTACCTGCCACATTTTGGCGTCGTACACCCACAAAAAAGAAAATTAGGGTTGTACACGATACAGCAGCTACTTTTGAAGATGTTAGACTCAATTCTATGCTTTTAGCAGGTCCCGATTTACTGCAACCTCTGTTAGCAATGCTGATCGTGAAGGCCGTATCGCTCTCAACGGCGATATTCGGGAAATATTTCTCCAAATTAAAATCCGGAATGAGGACAGAAACGCTCAACGTTTCCTGTGGCGTAATGAAGCATCCCAACCGATTTTGGAATACAGGATGTCGTCGAAGATTTTCGGTGCGGTCTCCAGTCCGTGCACAGCTCTCTACCTGAATAATAAAAACGTATTAGATCATAAAAAAGAATTTCCGATGGTCGTAGATGCTGTAGTTAACAACCACTACATGGACGATTACCTGGGTAGCATCGACTCTGCAGATAAAGCCGCTCATCTCGTAGCTGATATTGTAGAAATCCACTCTAGCGCAGGCTTCGAGATGATAAATTGGGTTTCTAATTCTAAAGAAGCTCTTACCTTGATTTCTCGAGATCTATGTGCCGCAAACGTCTTAGAGGTAAATCTCGTGAACAATGCCCCAAACCATAAAATTCTTGGAGTATCTGGGAACATCGTTGATGACTCTCTAGGGCTTTTGTGAAGTTAACCCCCTATCCATGAGTCTTCTAAGTGGACTAAGCGCCATGTCCTATCATTACTAATGCAAGTATATGACCCTCTAGGCTTGTTGGCTCCTATTGTCATAAGAGGTCGAATTCTTTTTCAACAAACCTGGAGACTCGGTATCAACTGGGACGATCACTTGCCATCCGAAATTCTATTAAAATGGAAACATTGGTTTGAGCACTTATCAAATCTCCGCCAAACTTCTATTCTACGCTGCTACACAACTACAAAACTGTGAGTGGACAGAAAAATAACTCCATGTCTTTGCTGATGCTAGCGAATACGCATACTCCTGTGTAGCGTATTGGCGTTTCCTAACACACTACAACTGTAAATTAACCCTCTTTGGTGGAAAAGCAAGGCTAGCTCCACTAAAGCCGACTTCTATCCCTAGATTAGAGCTCCAGTCAGCTCTGATCGCTGCTCGTTTTTGTAAATATTTAATAGAGGCATAATAATTTCATAAACATAAGCCTGTCAAAATTTTCCTTTGGTCAGATTCTTTAACAGTTCTCAAATGGCTTCGTAGCGATGCTCGCAATTTTAAAGTATTCGTTTCACATCGGGTTGGGGAAATTTTAGAACTCACAGACATTTCTTGCTGGAAATATGTTCCAACTCATCTGAATGTTGCTGACGACGCTACGAAGCCACAATCAAAATTCGAAATTTCACGTTGATTCTCCGGGCCTCCCTTTCTATTACTCGGTCAAAATGAATGGCCTGAGGAACCTTCTACAAATGTGCAACTAGACCCCGAAGAAATGAAATGTGATCGAGAGCTAGTTGCACTAACAACAGATAGTTCTCCGGAACTATCGCCAGTAGTAGCTAATCACTGTTGTTTCAGTAATTGGATTCGTCTAGTTCGCGCTACAGCTACTGTCGTTCTCGCTGCTAAGTTTTATATACATTTATTGTTTCGTAAGATAGAGAATAGGATTGACGAAGCCCCTTCTCGACGGCTACAAGCCTCAAATCTAGTCGCATCAGAACTCCGTTTACTCTTGCGTTCCCAACTAGACTCTTTTGGAGAAGAACGTCGCCTTATTAAAGCCGGAAAGCCCTTTCCTTCTAGAAGTCGTTTGAAACGGCTAGCTGTCACCTTAGACGATTTCCAAATATTAAAATTAGCAGGGAGGACAAGAGCCTGTGCGGGCTCAATCACCACAAGCAACCCCATTGTGCTCGACGGCAAACATCCCATCGTGAAACTTTTAATAAAACACCATCATTCTTACCTTTGTTGGGGACACACATACAAGAATGTCACTAATGAATGTCACTAATTTATAGGCCGTAACATCTGTGCTAGGGAGTCCCTGTGTTACAGATGTTATTTCCTTCCACAATGGTTGGTTCAATTTAACAATTTTTACGTAGCTTTGACGTACCTTAATTTTTACTTATCTTATATGACATCTGATGAATTTGTTTATAGTTATATAGTTGTGTGTGTGCGCGCGCGCGTGTGTGGGTGTGTGTGTGTGTGTGTGTGTGATGTATAATTGATATTATAAATACATCTATGTATTTTTATTTTTAATTTAAGTAATTTTAATTATATGAGACTAGACATTTACAATTTTTTCTGTTTCAATATAGGTTAATGTAGTTAGGTAATTAGTAACGTTAATTTTACAATTATGTGTAGTAAGAGGGTAAATTTTTATCTGACTACTGATTTTATTATATAAGTGAGGTCCGAGAAATTTTAATTGACGTTGCCCAAAAGAAGATTTGCATTTTATTGTAGTAAATATTTTATCTTGTCTACGTTTAGTAACTATGTGCTGTATGTATTGTTGAGCAGATACATGTTGGTATAGTATTATCTTTAATATATATAATTGTCTAACTGTTAATACATTAAATTCTTTATACAATTGCGTCGTAGGGTACCGGATAGGTTTTTGAAGTATAATTTTTAATATTGCTCGTTGTGCTCTTTCTATATGTAGTATGTTATTTTTAAATGTACCTCCCCAGGACAGGATGCAGTAATTAATTATAGATTGACATAATGCAGTATATGTTGTTTTTAATAGTTTTAGGTCAAGAACTGCTCTTAGACGTTTAAATACTACTATTAATTTTCTAACTCGACCCGTCAGTATTTGTATGTGCTTTTTCCATGTCAGCAGAAAGTCAATATAGACACCAAGGTATTTTATAAAATCTACTTTATCGATGGTGGGGCAGTTACAATTTGCATTATTAGTACAGTAATGTCCTTTAATTTTATTTATGTTGGGTTGATCAGTACGCTGTTTACTAAAAGCTATGAATTTAGTTTTTTCAAAGTTAATTGTTAATAGGTTTTTATGTAGCCAATGGATAACTTCAGTTAAACCTTTTTCACTTTTGTTAATTACATCGGACCAAGTCTGTCCATGGAAAACCAGTGCTGTATCATCTGCAAACGTGTAAACGGTTCCTTTATCGTCATGTAGGTTACAAAGGTCATTAATATAGATAATGAATAAGCTAGGTCCCAGGATACTACCTTGAGGAATACCGTATGTTACTTCTTTTTCCGTGCTAATATAGTCTTTTATTTTTGTTACCTGTGTACGGTTAGTGAGATAGCTTTTAAATATAGCCAAGGCTGTACCACGAATTCCGATCTTTTCAAGTTTGTTGAGAAGTGATGGGATGGATACAGTATCGAAAGCCTTGGCTAAGTCCAAAAATACTGCTATACATTTTTGTTTATTTTCCAAGTGATTAGCGATATCATATGTTAAGTCTTTAACTGCCATTTCAGTTGATTTTCCAGCTAAAAATCCATATTGATTATTAGAAATTATTTTATATTTTGACAAGTACGAATTCAATCTTTTGTTTAAAAGTCTTTCGAGGATCTTAGATAAACTGGGCAAAATTGATATAGGTCTGTAGTTACTAATGCACTTTTCATCTCCATTCTTGAATATAGGAATTATTACAGACTTTTTGAAGCAAGTAGGAAATATACCACTATGAAAACTTAAGTTTGCTATATGGGTTATTATTGGTACTAATATATGATTTGACATTTTTAGAACCTTTGTTGGGATATAATCTATACCTTGAGCTGTATTATTCTTCAAGTTCATTAATGTTGTATATATTTCTTGATCGTCAGTGTCTAATAGTACTAGTGAATTTCCTTTGTCTACTAATCTTTGCTGTGAAACATTATAATTGGTGGTATTTATGTTTATGTTTATTTGTTCTGCCAGTGATTTACCTAATTCTGCGAAATGTTTATTTACCATATCAATAGCATTATTTTGATTATTTGTGATATTCAAAAGAGCTGATCCGTCAATTGGTTTTTTAATTTCCATTCTTCCAACGTCTTTTATAGTACTCCAAACTTTTTTAGTGTTTTGTGCCGCTTCATTAATCTTATCTTTATTGTATTGAATTTCTATTTTCTTTAGTAAGTCGTTGCAGTAGTTTCTGTACCGTTTATATGTAGTTTGTAAAATTGTATTTTCTGGGTGTTTTTTTAAGTCGGCATGTAGTTTGTCCCGATTTCTTATACATTTTAGTAATCCTGGTGTGATCCAAGGACGAATTATTCGTTTACGGTTTGGAATTTTTTTAACTGTTGTGTTTCGAGTGATTATAGAAGTTAATTTTTGTGTTAATAGCGTTGCTGCTTCATCTGCGTCAGCGCATTGTAGTACATCAGAGAAGTCTGTATTCTCCACATCCAATTTGATGACATCATAATTAATATATTTTTGAATTATTTGCTTCTTATGTAGAGGTTGAGTGGTGGTTATTGTTAGTATAATCGAGTAATGCATGATGATGCAATCCATCACAACTGCACATGCGAACACAGAATTAATTTTCAACGAATTACGGCAGAACTATTTCATCTTGGGTATATGTCCAGCCGTAAAGAAAGTCGCTAGTTCGGGCCAGTTACTGTATTGGCCGACGAACCGAAAAACTCTATGTGGCACTCTTCACTTGCCTGACAGTACGAGCCATCTACCTAGAAATTGTTGGCAGCTTATCCTCGGATGCGGCAATCATGGCTCTACGTCTCTTTATATCAAGACGTGGATGCCCAATTAAAATTTACTCAGACAACGGGACAGCCTTCGTCGGAGCAAACAATATACTGAGACAACTCTACCATGACGACGTAGTCAATGATGCTGCCAATAAAAGGATCCAGTGGCAGCATTCCACCTTCCGAAGCGTAAAGACAGCTCTCTCCGCAACATTAAAAGAAAAATCCCCACGAGAAGAGGTACTACACACACTCCTCTTGGAAGCCGAAGCCTTAATAAACTTAAGGCCTCTCACCCACGTCTCTGTAGACCCTAAAGACCAAGAAAGTATAACGCCATTTCACTTTTTAATTGATTGCTCCTCTCCTTACCAATCATACGGAGAGATGGATGAACGCGACCTTATCCGTCGAGTAAGCTGGAAAAGAGGCCTTCGTCTTGCTGATCACTTTTGGGCTAGATGGTTGACGGAATACCTCCCCACACTGATTCCGAGACGACCAGGAGAAAAGCCAGTTCTTAAAGTCGGAGACCCGGTTCTTATTGCCGACGGCAACCTCCCGCGCGGTTCATGGCCACGGGGCCGTATCTTAAAAACATTCCTCGGTCCCGACAAAACGATCCGTGTGGCAGAGATCGCCACCAAAGGAGGTACCCTCAAAGGAGGTACCCTTGTTTATTTATTAGAGAACGAATTATTATTATTAGTACTATTAGGGTAGGTGTACTATACTTTTGTAACATTGGTGGGTTGAATTTTTTTTTTTTATAACACTGGGGACAAACGAGCATGCGACTCACCTGATGGTAAGTGATTACCGCCCTTGAGCACCCGCAACACGAATTGCAAGTACGTTGTCGGCCTTTTAAAAAGGAATAAGCTCTTTTCTTGAAGGTTTCAATATCGTATCGGTTCGGAAATACCATAAGTACTACTTCTGTATAATTGAACCCACGTTTCATCGTTTTCGTATTAAATCTCTATGACAAGTAAGAGAATAAACTATATGTTTGGTAATAGATATTTTTCAAATGTCTTCCAGAGTAGACCTAGTTTAATAAACAAATATATGTTGACCATAATAATGATGGTCTCGGTAGTCTAGCGGTTTAGCGCACCGCCTTACTTTCAATGTACACGGGTTCGATTCCTTGCACGGCACAAACATTTGTATTTATGAGTGTGATAGTTTGTATCGATCTGAGTATTTTCTACGTATAATGTGTATGTATTTACGAAAAAAAAATGTATTTGTATCAGTTATCTAGTAACCATAATACAAGCTTTAGCTAGCTTAACTTGAGTCTAGATAACGCTGTGTGAATTATCCTGAGATTATTATTATTACTATAATTGTAACCAAAGTGTTTTTTTTTACAATCAGCATCAGCACCAACACTCAAAAACATAGAAAATGTGAGAATAGTAGGTGGTGAAGATATAGAAATTTCCGATGCACCATACCAAGCCTCGGTAATACACTATAACCGTCATGTCTGCGGAGGAACCATCATAGCAAGAGATATAATAATAACTGCAGCCCATTGTATGATGGTGTAAGTTGTATTTTTTTAATTTTTACTAGACTCATAATTTATCAGATATCATTTACAAATTCTCGTTTTTAGTATATTTAGTATATAGCAATACCGTATCAGTCATCGATTACCATTCTGAATGACATGTCATGCTATTGTATTCTGTAATTTTACTGTTACCTGCTGCAACTGAAACATATATTCCAAAGCAAAATACTTGGCAGTTGAGTCTTAATCTTAAAAAGCCGTTATTTTTAATGCTTGGTGTTATCAGTAGGTTTTTTAATTGAATAATATCAGTAACATTAATTTATCTCATCTCCTCTTTTAAATAAGGATTAGGATATAAGACCAAAATTATGTACGTCATTTTTTTTTTAATTTCATATACTGTGTACGGAATATTATTTAATTTGCCTATATGACATGTGCACATTTTCTTCTAAATTATTTAGATCAATCAGACCCAACCTATTGCTCTGCATTTCTAGGCCATCTTCTCGGTTATATAATTTGTAATAACGTTATTTTATTTCTTTTTTTTATTTGCGAAACGTCTAATATAATGTTTCATTTGTGTTCAACAACAACGTGTAATTGTTGCACTAAAAAAATGTAATAAGAATCTTCTTATTACATTTTATTATTTGCTAGAACACACATGTGCGTATAATCATAAGAGGGTAGATAATATTAGAATAGATATAGAAGATTTAACTGAATTTGCCTCTGCTATAAATAACTCTATTCAATTATATTCACCTATAGAAGATTATTTAGGTTCTAGAAAAAAATACATTATATATTATAAAGTCTGAATAAACATAGTTTGTTGTTTCATTAAAAGTGTTAGATTGAGTATTTTTTAGTACGTAGTCAATTAAGAAATTTCTCAGTTTGGACTGTTTCAAAGGTTTCTGCTTTATTTATTTATTAAAATGACATTTTAAAAACATAATTATTCGCTCTTTCATTTCTTATTCAACGGAAAGTTTTCTCGCGTTTTTATTTATTCTATTTATAAAGTATTTTGTTATGAATAATAGAAAAGAATAAATTTTAAGTGTTATTTCATTTTTTTTTGTCTATTTTTCGGAGACTTTAAGGCTGATTGTATGAAGTATTTAATTAAAAATCTCACTCAAAATTATGTCGTCATTTAGGACCTTTTGGTCTTTATGCAAGTCATATATAATATCAATATCCTTACCGTACAGTTTGGCTATCTCCTTTTGTTAAAAAGAACTGGCTATAAACTCAACTAGTACACTTTTTATGTTAGTATTATTTTTAGGCAGTTTCAATTTTTAAATATTACATACTCGTAGCATTAAAGTTGTGTATATGTCTAACAGTTATAAAAGAAAAATTCTCTTGTCTAAACATATATAAAATAAAAAATACCTAACAATAATTTCTAACATTATTATTCATATTTCAAATACTATTGTCTTTTCGTTGATTTATATGGCATTGAGCAACTAAATTGAATTAATATTATTTCAAATTCATTTAAATAACAAAGAATTCATTTGATAGGTCTAGACTGTGACAGAAAATTGATATAAATTACGATTAAAAAGACAGAAACATTGGCAACTGATGTTGTGGTGAACACAAGGCTTGAAATGTGCAAATTCAGTATATATGAATTTAACGTGGCAGGTTCGAGCCTCGCCTCTGATCGGTCTCATAATCAATTCAAACGGGGATCAAAATTACGATAGCCTGAGCCGAGGATCGAACCTCTTGCTGTGTCCCCAGACTAAAGTCGTATCCGTTATGCGGAAATTGACCTTTAGCTGCTCCATAACCCCTTTCTCGGGTTTGGAGTGCCATCAGGAATAGCTCATATCATCCGGTTGAGCTGAAACAAAATAGTAAACAGTATTTTTTTCAAACTACTCAGTCCGAAAAAAGAAGTTCAAGTCGGCCTTTAGTATATTTTTTCTTCATTTGTGACTAAAAAAAAATAGTATCAGTATAAGCCTGATTAGGATGGGATCTGTGAGTGATAATCCGATCACAACAGGTCCCATATTAAAGATTAGCAAGAACAAACAGACAGACAGACAAAAAATTATAAGTTATTTTTTTTATATATGTACCGTATACGCTTTATATTCATGTAGTGGAAAGCTTTATTTTATCTTATTCTTCAGTCCAGACATCGAAGAATATACAGTTCGCGTCGGGTCATCGTATAGCACGCATAGAGGGGATATATATCAAGTCGGGGATGTGGCCCGTCACCCAGGTTACAGTTTCAACGAAATGGATAATGATATAGCAGTCATTTGGTTATCAACACCTATAAATTTTAACGAAAACGTATCCTCAATTGATTTGTTTGAACATGATGAGGAGTTGGAAGACGGAGAACTGGCTACGGTAACTGGATGGGGATATACTGCGGTAATTTTTTTCTTCCTTGAAAGTAATGTATTTATGTTGTATCGGACGGCCATTGTACAGTTGTTTGTTGTGATGTTTGTTCCAGGAAGAGGGTGGTCACCCAGATATTTTACAAAGAGCACTGGTCCCGAAGGTGAATCACGAAAAATGCTATCTGGCATACGCCCCTGAAGACACCGTCACATCCAATATGCTCTGCGCTGGATATCCCGAGGGCGGCAAAGATGCTTGTCAGGTATGTTAATAAAACAAATAAATATGAATAATAATATCTCAAGATAATTCACACAGAGCCATCTGATCTGAAGCTAAGCAATAGTTGAGTTATGGGTACCAGACGACTAATATAAAAACATAATATACATAGACAATGCCCAGAACGATACACCCAATCTTATGAATACAAATGTTTATATTCTGAGAGGACTCGAACTCGCGACCAACGGAAGTAAGGCCATAACATAATTTTACAATTTTCTACCATTGTATAACTTCATGTACAATTCTTTACCCGCAAAAAATGGACCCAATTTTTTTTTAAATAAAAATTCTTGATGTATTTAGACGTTAATATATAGACAGATAAAATATGTTTTATGTGCATTGTACAATGATGGAAGATACAATTAATTAGTAGTAGTATTAACTAAACATATATGTGTAAATACAATAAGGCGACTTATGGCTGAAACTTATGGTGAGTGACACCCACCATTTCAAATAGAATAATTAAAAATAATGATTTTTATAACAAGGAAAATATGTTTGCAGGGTGATAGCGGTGGCCCCCTAATGTATAATAACAAATTGGCCGCTGTTGTATCTTGGAGTATCGGATGTGCCAGACCCGACTATCCTGGTGTTTACGCGAAAGTATCAGCATTCCGAGGGTGGTTGGACGAAGAGATCACGAATTTGAGAATAAAAAACATACTATGAGGCTTACCGTATGCAATTTATGAATAAATAGATTTTTATATTTTTTTAATAAAATCACATTAATAAATTCAATCTTTGTTGTTTTTTTTTATTAATAGTAATTCACTATTCCGACTTAGATTCCAAAGTTGGAATCTCATTTAAAAACTACTTTGCATATTACTTATTTAAACAGATAGCGATAGGTAGAGTGATACCAAACTACTAAGATTTCATTCCTCTTAAACTGTAATTACAGACTGATGTTAGATCTTCATGTTAGTCTTATTATAATTATGTTTTTATATTTGTATTCATATTAGTTTATGTTTTTTTCTGTGAGAGGAACAATAAAGAATCTTCATTCATTCATTCATATGTAGCTATGTCTATACGTAATGTAAATAGATTTACTTTAAAATGAAAAACAGTTGACTTACCCTCGATTCTTAACTGAAAATCGGCCGAACTGTACGGAAGGTTTAAATATGAAATAGAGTCTTCCATAAGTCACTAACATTAATTAATTCTTAAGAGTAAATACAGTTAATAAACTACCGAAATGACGGCAACCACTCGTAATATGAATTCGAACTCGAAACTATCATTCATTGTACTCAAAGATTTTAATAAATTCAAAGTAAAGGAACCAAACTTTTAACAAGAATCTTAAAGTTTAATGTTACTCTTACATTAAACTTTATAATGTAAAATCATTTTAAAACTGATAGAAAGTTAAAATTCTAATGAACTCATCGTGAACTTTTGAATCCATCCAACTATTTTCATTAATGATTGCAAAGTTCAATTTTTAAATACTGCAGTTTTGCTAAAAGGAACTACTGCTAATAGGATTAGGTACTCTTTTTGTACTTTTGCTACAGCTGTTCATTATTTTCTTTTCTAAATACAGGATTTACTCTCCCGTTTTTACTATACTCTTTGTCAAGCCTGTTACTAAGTTTTATGTAAAGTAAAATGTATTTCTGTGTCTTTAGTGAGAAAGGTTTGTTTCAAATTACTTAATTTTCAGAAGAGACCCAATTCTGTGTCTTTAGTGAGAAAGGTATGATTCAAATTTTCTTACTTTTCAGGAGAGAGACCAAATAATATTTTTTTAATAAATTATATACTGATTTTACTGTACACAACTAGGAGACAAATTGATCCAATTAAAAAAAAGGTTATGTGAAATTGATTCTAAGTTGATTTAAGACTATTTTATTGCAGCGTTAAAGCAAAATCATTTATTGCATATAGAAAACCATACTTCTACCTTAGTAAAGATTAAAATATAGAATAAAAAATACAATAAATGTATTACAATTATAAATATTAATAAAAAAAGAACAATTACATCTTCACTACTTTCTGTGGTCGAAGACAAATTTTATATATAGTCATGAATTACATTTGTATAGTGTGAGAAATCCACCCCGCATTATTTGTCCACATTCTAACAATCTCTTTCCATGTAGTTCCACAAAAAAATGTGCTAGTGGTGATGGCAACACCAATAACAAATCAAACAAATCCGAGAGATGAGTTGTTAAGTAAGTTGACACTAACTCTGACTATCCTATGTTTAATTATAAGATAGTCAGAGTTAGTGTTAACTTTCAACTTCGAAGATTATACATCGTTTGACTTACCCAAATGTCTCTAGGTATAATTGGATTAACTAGACAGAGGGCCATCATGTCATCTCTCGGATTTGTTTGGTTTGTTATCGGTGTTGCCATCACCACTAGCACATTTTTTTGTGTAGGCCAGATATGAACTCACGACCATTTGCCATCTATTTTATGTCTAATTTAGATGTATGCAAGATAATACATGTTGTAAATATTAGTAGACGCGCATTATAGCAATCTTCCTTATTAATTATTTATTAGTTCGTAATAAACTCATAGATACACTAACATTAATTACAGTAATGTTTATTAAATATATGTACATAACCAATGATAATAACATTACAGATAAGAGTAATTAGATAAGAACGAATCTAAATTAATGTGAGAGCATCATCTAGTGGTTGACAACACCAAATAAGATCAAAAAAAATATTGGTCGTGGGTTTGATTCCTTGCAGGATACAACTCATATCTGTCAGGCGGGAGTTGGCCTTCGAACGCTCCATAAGTCCTTCCACGAGTTTAGAACGCTATCAGCACTCACCCCCTATCGTCTGGCCTTTAGGCCAGCTGCATCCAACAGCATTAGAGTTGTTCGAAAATAAAGGATCATTTATATCGTTTTTTTTTCGAACTATTTTGTATTCATTTTTTTTTTTTATGTAATTGCGATATTAGACAAGCTGACGGACCTTGATTATACTTATTATAATGATTGTTAATATAAACACTGCTAGACATGACACTTTTAATATTCGCATATGCTTTGTATTACGGTATAACTAAGTGCATATTGAATGTCGTATTTGCATACAAGAGCGTCAAGTATTCTATAAATAAACGGTGTTTAATAGATTGATTGCAATTATATTAGAACAGTATTTATATTGTCTATATATAAGTAAGGATAACAGAAAAGGAATTAGAAGATACGTACAAAATATTACTTTATTTAATTGGAATAGTAACCAAAATGACTTGCCACCTGATAGCAATCGTCACCTATATACATGTGTATATTGGTGCCCTAGCCAAATTTCGAAAAATAATGGTAATCTGTTGGAGCAAGGTCCGGGGTGTACGGTAGATGTCTTAGACATTCCAAATTAAGCTCTTCTAATTTGGTAACTGTCTGTTGTGCCGTGTGTTAGACCACACACGCGTTGTTCTGAAGCAGCAGTGGCCTACGGCGATTGACCGGCCTCGGTTATTTAGCAGCTAGATTTTCCATCATGGTTTTCAATTGCTAACAATACACATCTGTCATCAGTATTAGTAAGACTATTTCATTAAAATAACGAGATAAAATTATATACTTAGCCTCTTAACTAGGGTGCTAATATTAGGTTAGTCCTTGAATTGAAAAAGAATGGTGATAGCTGTCAGTCATTTACCATAGAAAGAGTTCAGCGTATTCTAATATTATGGATTGTCATGAATGCAATAGACAAAGAATTCATTTCAATTTATTTACTATCAATAACAATACGCATTATCATTTCATCATATTTACACATAAGGAAGCTGTAATAACTTTAATGAGGTGCATTGATGATTGTTTGTAAGGATAGATAATCAACTTTAAGACATTAACCAGTCAGTAGTTAATAGAAGTCGTGGACAGACGTTCACTACAATGAATAAAGTAATATTCATTTCTATAGTATCAAGTATACTATTAGTGAATACGGAAGCTGCCAAGATATTAGGATATTTCCCAACTCCGTCTATAAGTCACCAAGTTGTGTATCGTGTGTTGATGCATGAACTCGCCAAACGTGGACATGAAGTATTTGTTATTACAACAGACCCAGCTTTTCCGAAAGATAAAGCACCAAAAAATTTAACAGAAATAGATGTACACGATATATCTTACTCAAAATGGAGAGAAGCAGTCTTGAACCCAGAACTGACGACGGGGAAAAAAGACGACATATCGCAACAAATATCAGTTATGTATGGAATAATAATAAATCTATTCGATGAACAGATAAATACAAAAGAAGTACAAAATATTTTGAAAGATAAAACATTAAAGTTTGACTTGATATTTCTAGAATCGTTTGTTAGACCAGGCCTTGTGCTATCGCATTTCTATAATGCTCCCATTATTCTTATGACCTCTCTATTGCCAATTTATAATAACATGGAAGTTCTTGGAAGTCCAGTCCACCCAATACTGTACCCAATGGGATTTTGCCGCCAAAAAGTCAACAATCTAACAATCTGGGAAAAAATAACGGAATTATATAAGTATTACAATGTTTTACAATCAGTAGATGCGTATGATGGTAAAATAAATGAATTGATTAAGAAAAATTTCGGAGCGGATGCTCCTTCTCTTAATGAATTACAAAATAATGTTGACATGTTGTTTGTAAATGTACACCCGATTTGGGATATGAATCGCCCAGCTCCACCCAGTGTGATCTATTTGGGTGGGTTGCACCGTAATCCAGAAAAGGACTTACCCAAGGTGAGTTACGAATTTCATGTAAATATTAATTAATTAATAAAAATTGATTCTAATTAATATTTACATGATGAAATTGATCTATATATTTTAATGTGCAATTGTGAAACTTTTGATTTGAAATAAAACCCGGGCTTAAACCTCTTATCACTATTAAATTTAGTTGATGTGACTTTGGTAGTTATTTAATATGTTTATTCAGTGACAAGAATTACTATTTATATATTTGATCAAGTCCCAAAAGATTGTTGAAAGAAAATAATATCATATCAGTAACAAAATCGATGGCTAGCTTTATATTTTTTTTTAATATAAATAGTCCTGCTTTAATGAAAAAAAATACGTTAATTATTTGAAACTAATAATTTAAACAAAGTGAAGATGCTTTGTTACATTTTAGCTTACAACAATTTGTGTATAGTAAATAATATAATGTTATTTGCATTATAGTATTAAGCAGATTATAGTAAAAATGACAAAATCTTATTATTGTACTACCAATTAAAATAGAGGATTTCCATCTCATAATAGTTTTATTCATATCATTCATATCATTATCATTACATGATCGAGCATGTAATGATTTTGGCATATGTTTTAAAATTTGTAATGGCAAAATTTTACCAATTCTTAATTTCAGTAAATTTTTTAAATATGAAACAATTTCATACGATTTTATAGGTATCAACTTACATATGAGTCAATCTTTTAAGTTATAAGTCTAATTGTAAGGTTCTGTAATATTATAATAACAATAGTTTGCTTTCACGACTGCTATCCTAGATAATTAGTTAAAGATACAAAACTCGATACAATATTTGGAATACCCGGGTGCAATCAGAGCGGGTTACTAGTATAGAATATATTGACATAGTAACACGTTGCTATGAAAAATTAACTATTAAATACTACTGAACGCCGTGTCTTAGTTACGGTAGTATGTATGAAAATATTTGATACATGAAAATTGACTACTTTCAGGATCTGAAGACTTATTTAGATTCATCCAAGCACGGCGTTATATACGTCAGTTTCGGTACAAACATAGATCCTGCGCTGTTGCCACCGGAGAAAATAAATATGCTAGCAAACGTTCTTTCTCATACACCTTACGATGTAATCTGGAAATGGGATAATGACAACTTTCCTAACCGGCCTGAAAACATTAAAATACATAAGTGGTTGCCGCAATCTGATTTACTTAGTATGTATTGAAATTAATATGTTTATATTAATATAATAGTCCTTAATTTTATTCAGTAAGTCGTATGGCTGAACAGGCTGATGATCAACCTGATAATAAATGGTAATTTTCTATTTATGTCTTTAACATGAGCGACCCGTCCTGGCTACGAACGAATGCATTACAAATCAAAATTTCTCGGCTTGTTCTATACTATAATACGCACGTATTATACATATAAACCTTCCTCTTGAATTACTCTATCTATTGGTGAAAACTGCATTGAAATCCATTGCGTAGTTTAAAAGATCTAAACGAACAGATATAGAAATCGATTTTATTTTATATATGTAAAGATGCTACAATGATATATATTAGACTGTTTAATATTGTACCCTACAATCAAAATCGATATGTCGAGTTATTTTCTAGCTCAAAAAAACTGACAAAACAATTTAAAAGATGAAATTGATTTATTAAGTGTATGACGTTATTAATAATAATAATAATATGTTTATAGGGCATCCAAAAGTATTATTGTTCATCACACAAGGAGGTCTGCAGTCTACTGATGAGGCTATAGCAGCTGGAGTACCTTTGATCGGTCTGCCAATGCTGGTCGATCAGTGGTACAATGTAGAACAGTACGTCCGACTTAAAATAGGATTGGGACTGCATATGGAAGAACTTACAGAAAATAAATTCAAAACTGCTCTCGACACAGTTTTAAACGATAAAAGGTAATATTAGTATTTATTAATTGTTTTTTTTAATTGGTGATAATGTAATGGTGTGTACCAGCCTGTGTGGTTTACGATGACGGGGCATCAGTAGAGAATGAAGCTAACACTTCGTCACAAATTCACCAGAAAGTTATTAGGGGAAACCGCGAGGAGGATCTGACATGGCACATTGCTAATGGGTTCATTAGTCAAATTACTAACAATCTTCTATTGGATTAAATGTCATTCCATTATTTAAATTCATTAGCTATTATGTTTAATTGTCCCATAATTGTCATATTGTGACTAGAATTTAGTACATATAATATCTATAAAGACTTCGTGATATTAGTTATCAGTGATCAATTTCCGAAACTATTCGCTTCTCGTAAAGCAGTCGCTACTGTTTTACAATTATTTAATCAAATCAGTATTTAGTATGCAAAAGCCGGGTACTTCTATGATAAAGTGATAGATAAGGCAGTAAAATTATAGGATAAGGTAGAGAAGACATAATATATTAGTCCTCCCGAATAGCAATGCATGGTATCACCAGAGTTAAATGATAACGTTATGTTTTAGTCCTGGTCACGGAATTGTACATACCCACTTACCATCAGGTGGGCCGTCAGCTTGTTTGCTAAATTACATAAAAAAAATTGGTGTAGATAATAATAGGTGACCATCAGAAGTGACTCGCAGATATTATAAATGACCAGTCTCTTAATTTAATAATTACTAATTTGATTAGTTTAGTTCCGCCATTGTTAGTATATATGAGACTAATATTTGGTACAATTTATATGACACTATTATTAAGAAACCATACTATTTATGATCTTTAGTAATAAGTGTAATAACCCTATAAGTTATTACTTTAATCTGAACCATTTAAAGGGAAAACTAAATCAACGGAAACTTCTAGGAACACGCAAACTAAGTCACAAGTTCAGTCACCTAAATCTGTCTAGTTACATACCTATTTATAAATATTAATATCTCTATATATATTAATAAGAGAGGAAAATCTTTGTACCCCTTTTAACGAAAATTGCACAGACAAAGTAGTATAAAGTGTCGCATACTTATGGATTACTAGCTACCCACCCTGTTTACCTACTACTACCTTCGCACAGGTATACATGTTTTATAAATATATACCTTCATCTTGAATCACTCTATATTTATTAAAAAAAAATTCCGCTTCAAAATCCGTTGCGTAGTTTTTAAGATTTAAGCATACATAGGGACGGACAGACAGCGACAGCGACTTTGTTTTATACTATGTAATAATGATGAAATATAGAAAACAAGTACAGAATGCAAATATTAGCATTCTGTATTATTTATTTTTTCATACAGAGTACATTAAATCAAAAAGGAAATATTTTACATACTACCTTGTATTTGACACTCATATTCATATATATAAGAGTACATTCGAAAGTCGAATTGAGAATAGATAAATTTTGTTTGTCTTTAATATTATTTGTTTATAGTCTTTGACAATGTATGTTATGACCACTGGTCTACCACTAGTTATTATAATTATGTCATTCTATATATTACACGTACTGTAAATATAACTATATACATTTAATTGCATTGTAAAGTGTTACAACTTATTATTACTTCTTCGTTTCATAATTCCCTAGCATATACATAACTATTACGATAAATAAAGCATATAATTTATTATAATGATATACAATGGATAAATCAAGTAATTACTATAATTGCTATTGCTTCGTGTTAAGTTATATAATTGGAAATATTTACTCATAGCAATGTTATTTAAACACCTGATAATTATATATAATGACAATAATATGATAATATCTCAGGAAAATTCACACAGCGCCATCTAGTTCTAAGCTTAGCAGAGATTGTACTATGTGTTCTAGATAACTGATAGAAATACTTAAATATATTTTTTGTAAATACATACATAATTTACATAGAAAATACACATATTGAACAAACATCATGATAATCAGAAATAAGCGATGTCTACTACTACTAGACTACAAAGCCCATCAATAATGAATAATAAAATGTATTATTGCGAGGATTGTTAGAAAAGGCGAATGGAGGCCTTAAAGATTCCTATTACAAAATATATTTAGTGGTGAAGTCAACGATATGATGACCAAAGTGACTTCATTCTTGCCATCTTCTATCACTGGTGTCTTACCAGCGTATATAGTTAGAGCAGGCGGGTGACCATTTCTATAAATATCCATTCGTAAATAACTTTTTAGTAGCTCAGAAGCAAACTCGTGAGTGCAATTTAGTGGAAAAAAGTGATCTACTAATTTTTAGAGTATGACTCTTCTGTGCATGTGCGTAGTGTACAAATATTTTATAAATATAAAACACAAAATGAAATAAATAGAAATCTTTGATCATAATATAGTATTAAAACAACATTGTTTTGTTTTAGCTACCGCAATAACATTATCAAACTTCGTACCTTGATGGCGGACCAGCCCCAAACACCACTGGAGCGCGCCGTGTGGTGGACCGAACACGTCCTACGTCACGGCGGCGCGCGACACCTGCGCTCGCCCGCAGCCAACATGTCCTGGACAGAATATCTGGAACTAGAACTAATTGTATATGTACTTTTATTTATATTAACTATCATAATTGTATCTGTAGTATATATAATGTTTTTAATTAAATTTATTAAAGGTAGCTTTTCGAAGGATACTGCAAAGAAAAATAATTAGATATAACTAATGTAGGTAAACAATATTTTTAGTCAGTAGTAAATAAAATGACAGTTAGACATAGATATGAATTATTAAGTTTATTTTCCTAGACTGATAACGAATACAATGAATACATTATTTGTATAACAATAATCAACAATAATATATTCAAAAGTAAATCTTGTGCATATTAGCTAAATCTGCATATATAACTATGAAATGGATTTCAAATTAAATTTTTCGTCGTAGTTTTTATTATTTTCTGTATCACATATATTAAATTTGTTAATAATGAAATCTATAATTTATTGATATGTGTAAATATGTATTCGATTACAGACATGTCTATCATTATTAATAACAAATGTAAATTAATGATTACATCAAATAATACATTGATTTTGTTGATTTTACATTTAATTTTTTTTAATCTTCCCGTATCTGCATGAGTAATGAAATTGCATATCACAAGTTCAATATTATGATTAATATCAATCTATGAATTATTAATCATTTAAAGTAAAAAAATCTGAAAACTTATTATGATTTGTATTTGGAACATTTATTTCGACTTCATCCAAAAATAGTCATCAGTACACGAGTCCGTTACAGCGTCTCGCCTCACATACAAAACATATTAAATTTATTTAATTTTCGTACATTTTCTTTTATATAGAAAAACACATAGATCAATAGATATAATTAGCCCTTTGCACAATCGAGATCGAAAAACACATTTTAAATACCAATGAACTTAACTTTAAAATGACTGGTGCACTAGTCTTTGTAAAACCTATTTATTTACAATGATAACAGTATAATGTTGATTTTCGCACGTGATAACAGATAACACTTGTGAATACTTTGACGTATTTTTACTTATGTATTTTTTATGTAACTGCAAAGAGAAACTGAGTCTAGTTCCCAAATGTGTGAACAATGCAAATAATACAATACAACACAGAATATATGAAATATCTGTAGAACATTTCACATGTTGTCATTTTACAAAGGAATTGCCAATTTGATGCGTAAAACCCTCTTTCATGCGTAAAACGCATTCATTTGTTTCGACTCTGCCATTTAGTAATAAATGAGCATCATATTAAAATTCACGTAATCTACATTTCTGGACTCTTTCTTTATATTAAAATAACAAATATTGGATTTTTTTATGGATGATAATGGAATGGAGCACCATAGCGTAAACCGTTATCGCAGGCGGGACGCCAGTGGATGACGATAGGATGAGGTGGTGGTCAGGTCAGTTAGCTCATCGTGACAAATGAGACAGGAATTTATCATGATGGTTGCCACGAGGAACCGCGTGCAGGTCAACCAGACATGGAGTGGGAGACTCACAGTGGGAGAAAATTATGAATAGCTGAACATTAGTATTTAATTGAATGTTTCAATATACACATGTATATAATGCAGCATGGTAGTAGGTGTCTAAGATAACTTTTTAAATCACTTTATGTGTAGTCACTTTTTAAGTCACTTCAGGGCCGATTTCTTATTTTAACCAGTTCGAATTTACCTCAACCAACCCTGTATCGATATTGACTCTAATTTTTGTATCATAATTATGAACTAACAATACTAATGATATAATATTCAGGACAATTCACACAGCGCCATCTAGTTACAAGTTAAACAGAACTTGTATTATGGGTATTAGTCATTTGCTATAAATACATAGATACAGTTTTATAAATACATACACAATATACATAGAAAACACCCAGACCGATACAAATATTCATACTCATGAATATAAATGTTAATATCGTGCGAGGAATCGAAACCACGACCATCGGAATTAAGGAGTTTGATAAACCGCCGAGACCACCGAGGCCGGCGAGAATAATATCAATAAAAACAACAACCGTTTAAATGCAATGTAAAAGACATGTATATTATGAATTAAAAGTACAATACGTTAAGAGGTTTTCGCTTAAACTTACTAAGAACTGATAGATAACGCGTATAATATCCGATAGGTACAGACACATCGAAGAAAATAAACATTGCGGACGATTCTATTTATAAACAGAATCTAGGTGACAGTATAATTAGATATTGCAATGTCATCCACGTCATTATACGTGAATGGCATTGAAATAGTACGTTAGTACTTGGCTTTATTTTTATATACTACTAGCTGTACGCGACGCGACTTCGTTCCCGTGGAATTTTGCAACATTTCTTTTATTTTTCTAAAATAAGAGTAGCCTTAATTACTCCTTATTACATCAGCTACCTGCCAATAAAGGTCCCGTCAAAAGTCCAACCATTTCAGAGATTAGCCGGAACAAACAGACAGACAGATAAAAATTGTAAAATATGTTATTTTGGTATATGTACCGTATTAATATTCATATGCATATAGTAAAAAACGGTTATTTCAATATACAGTCATACAAACAGACACTCCAATTTTATTTATATGTATAGATTATGAATAATATTATCAGGTAGATCTTAATATAATATATTATTGTCTGTTTATGTGTTACAGCTTTACTTCTTACCTAAGAGTAATAATTCCTCCATATATATACTCAAAACAAATACTATGAAGAAATTCAAAGTGCATTTAAATTGTATGTTAAGAATTATTTTTTTACAGAATATGTTTTTAATAGTATTTTTTACATGACAGTTACTTCAATACTTAGTATCTCAATAGATGGCACTGTTCAAATATTTTGTTTATTGTTGTCATTTAATCATAGTAAGTGGCTTATACAAATTAACCCAATAAATTACTATTAGATACCTGTGTAAATTTTATTTATTTATTCTAGATATAGTATTTATTTGCTTTAATGCTGTATTATATAAGTGTTTTTACTCAGTGGAAGATTATTTTATATACAAAATAGATGACAGTTATTAAAAAAATTATATAATTTTTTTAATAACTAAAAATATTAACATTATATAATTAATATAGATATTTAAATGATTTGTGGGTATTCGTAATGTAATGACATAATTTTTATATTAAATTGAATATGATTTAATTTGAATATTTGCATACCTATAAGGGGTGTTGCATGTCATGTACTTATATTAGTTAATAAGATCCGAAACTACCATGTAGCAAGCAAATAAATAAATTATTACTATTATTATTAACTATTGAAGATTATTTATACTCATTGTTCTTATATAAATATACGAGTACGTGATATAACAGGGAAGTAAATACAATTAATAGTAAATCTTATACATATGATGATTACAGATAAGCTAGAACATGGCTAACAGTTAGTTATAAGATAATTGAAGCCGTGTGCAGACGTATTTCAAAATGAATATATTAATAGTGTTATCTTTAATATATACAATTAATTATACAGAAGCTGCCAAGATACTAGGATATTTCCCGACTCCGTCTATAAGTCATCAGATAGTGTTTCGGCCATTGATGCATGAACTAGCCAAGCGTGGACATGAAGTGTATGTTATTACAACCAATCCAGCTTTTACCAAAGAGCAATCTCTTGGAAATCTAACAGAAATAGATGTTCAAGATATATCATATACGAAATGGACGGATGCAATTCTAAGTGCAGATGTTACAACCGGAAAAAAGGATGACGTATCACAACAAATAATAACTATGTACCGTATATGCTTGGGTTTGTTTGATGAACAAATTAATGCGGCTGCTGTGCAGAATGTTTTAAATGATAAAACATTAAAATTTGACTTGATATTCCTAGAATCGTATTTCTCACCTGGATTGGTACTTTCGCATTATTACAAAGCGCCTCTCATTCTTATTAGTTCAATGTTGCCAATATACAATAACATGGGAGTTATTGGAAGCCCGGTCCATCCGATGCTATATCCGATGGGGTTTTGTCGTCAAAAAATCAACAATCTTACAATATGGGAGAAGATATCCGAATTGTACATGTATTACGGTATAGTGTCAACAATTTATTTTGGTAGAGAAACCGTTAATAAATTGGTGAGAAAAAATTTTGGGTCACATGTTCCGAGTCTTGATGAATTGGAAAATAATGTTGATATGTTGTTTATAAATGTACATCCGATTTGGGATATGAATCGGCCTGTCCCACCCAGCACTATATATTTGGGAGGATTACACCGCAATCCTGTGAAAGAATTACCAAAGGTGAGTTTATTGCATTGAAGGCTCATTAATCTATAAATGAAATCATGATAGGACATGTTTAAATTCAAAACCCATTTCATTTAGCCATTCATATTTTACTCAAATAACTTACATAACAAAATTCAAGCCAAGAATTATAATAATTTTCATTTACTTTTCGTAATAAATTTAGTTGAATATTATTACAAACTGTTTACGTAATTGAGCTTTACAACAATTACTAACCAATTTAATTTAGCTTGAATAATTAAATTCTATTGAGATCTAACTTGCATAAATTTTCTGAATAAGCTACCTACAATATGTATACCAATATTTTTTATTTAATTAATGATTATGGTATGGTGTATTCGCGCAGCTAACGGTTACACTTGCGGGGCACCACGGAGTGGAGGATGATAAGAGATTAGCATTAAGTCAGGTCAGTTAGCTCATTGCGAGAAACTCACCAGGAATTTATCACAATGATTTCCAGTTAATTACGGAAGCTTGAATCTATAAGTATAACATCTCATTAAGGCCAATATAAGCAGAGACTTAATGGAAAATGTTGCAAAAGTGAATAACAATGTGATTCAGACAGAGTTTCACGGGTCAACTTGGTGATAAAATGTTAATACACTTACAGGATCTGCAGTTCTACTTAGATGCCTCAAAACATGGTGTCATCTACATTAGTTTTGGTACTAATATAAACCCCTCAATGTTGCCACCAGAAAAAATGCAAATGCTAATAAATGTGTTATCTAATATGCCTTATGATGTATTGTGGAAATGGGATACAGATGAATTGCCTAATCGACCAAAAAATATTAAAACTTTCAAATGGCTCCCACAATCCGATCTTCTTAGTAAGTATACGAATGAATTCTTAATATTTTCTCTATTGTTTAGGTAGGTGTACATAATAACAGTGCAGAAATTGTTTTGTAAGATAAATGATATGAAAGTATTTTCAAATCAATTCATCAATCAATCAATTAAATAAATATCTCATATATTTATTTATGTAAGTCTATCACAAACACTTATTTTATAACAACTTTACCCTCAGTTACAGTTACAGTCACATTCGAGCTAAGAAGAACTGACAATAAACTTAGCTGTTGTTCGTTTCAAATGAGCTTGTACAAGAATTGTATTGTACAAATACAGATTGTTTTTTAAATTAGGGAGAATTTAGTTACCACTGTCTGCTATTGCATTTTTGTCAAATCAAAATAATCAGCGGCCGTAGACCGAACAGACCAGTCCCCAAACAGTGCCCATTCACGAGTATGGCCTTTGAGTCAACAATCATTGACTCAGCTAATTAATATGATATCAATTTCAATCTTCTGTCTATCATAAAATATCAAATATTTTATAAGTTGAATTTAATCCAACACATCAAAATATTTTACACTCAATTAAATCATATATATAACCATAATATTCCATCTGATTATGTTACGATATATTATTTTTATAGGGCATCCAAAGGTACTATTGTTTGTAACACAAGGTGGGTTGCAGTCAACAGATGAGTCTATAACTGCTGGTGTACCTTTGCTTGGTCTTCCGATGCTTGGTGATCAGTGGTACAATGTGGAACAGTATGAGCGACTAAAAATAGGATTAGGGCTGCAAATGGAAGAACTATCAGAAGAAAAATTCAAAAACGCTATCATTACTCTTATAAATGATAAAAGGTATTTCCATTACCACAATAATCTAAATATATATAACTCAAAGGTGACTGACAGTGATCTATCAACGCACAGCCTAAACCACTGGACGGATCGGGCTGAAATTTGGCATGCAGGTAGATGTTATGACGTAGGCATCCGCTAAGAAAGAATTTTGATTACTTCTACCCCCAAGGGAATAAAATAAGGGATGAAAATTTGTATGAAACTTTGTCAATTTTAAACCGATCGGGCTGAGACTTTGCATGCATAAAGCTACTATGACGTAGGCATCCCCATAGAAAGAATTTTGATAAATTCCACCCCTAAGGAGATAAATTAACGCGGGCGAAGCCGCGAGCAAAAGCTAATAGCAATATAAGATTTTTTAGTATTGGTAGGTTCCTTAATTTGTATTGTGTGTTTGTTAACGTACATATTTGTATTTAACTTCATCCTAAGGTTACCTGAAAGAGGTCGCTTTTTAGCGATAAGACCGCCCGTTGTTACCACTTTTTCTTATTTATTATTATATTTTTGTACATTAAATTGCACATATAATTGTGTATGTAACTGTGTTTTCTGTGATAGGATCTATAAAGAGTTTCATTCATTCATTATATAACCAAAAGCAGTTTATATCAAACAACCAATGCATTTTTTTAAATAATTAATTAATATTTTTTTAGTTATCGCCACAACATAGCCAAGCTTCGGTCTCTAATGTCCGACCGACCGGAGAGTTCGCTGGAGCGCGCCGTCTGGTGGACCGAACACGTCCTACGTCACGGCGGCGCGCGACACCTGCGCTCGCCCGCCGCAAACATGTCCTGGACAGAATATTTGGAACTAGAACTCGTTGCATATATACTTTCATTCATAATGGCATTCATAATTTTAACTATATACATAATAAAATATACTGTAAAACTTATTTTACCACCATTATATAAATAATTAAATATTACATTTGTATAAATGTATACCTTTGAGGCATTACGTGCCAATCTATTAGAAGACACGTGTCACTTGATGTCTTTGTCGTACTGACGTCCCACTGAGACTCTAGCTAGAGTTTTTGGTACAAAAATGTCTAAATAGAAATGCTTCTATATATTACAATAGTCGTGACTTATAAAAAAAAAAATATTTATTACTGTTTACAATCAAATAAATGATGAATACACATTCTAACAAAAGTACCACTGTATGCAGAAATAATTATACATATATTTGAGAAACTTTTATTCTGAGTTTATATATCGTATACAAAATATAATTTAGGGAGTTGAACTATATCATGCTAGTTTGTTCAAGAATTATTTTTATCTTCTTTGTCGATGGTGCATAATAACATAGTGTTATCTCTAGTCCGTAGTTCATTAGTATTTGATGGACAGATGGAGCTTTTGTAAAAGATCACCTTGCGATAATTTCTTAAATACAGAAAATTGGATAAATATATTTCAATAGATTAATATAAATATATATAGATATGATGTTTTTTTTGCGAAAACTTTCTTTGTTGAGTCGAATTCTCTAACTCCACTAATTACTAAATTCAGATGGATTATAAAGAATAATACGACTAATTAAAGTAATTGAATATTTCTAAACATTTATGAATTTCATGATCAAATTAAATTATTACTAATTAGATTGATAATCTACAATAATTGTTAGAATTAATTCATTTCATTTCTTCTTTGGTATAATTTCATATCATATTGGGTATATGACTTTGGGTGTTTTAGGATTTTATTTTTTAATAAAACTTCTATTATGTAATTAGAAAATGAAAACAATATGTAATTAACTACCTGATAGTAAGAATTCTAAGAACATCACGTTTTTTTATATACTACGATGGCAAATAACCATACGGCCCATCTGATGGTAAATAATTACCGTATTACGTTTGCAAATGACGGCCGTGATATTACTCATAAGTTGCCAATCCTGAGTCTCTCCTTCTCCGTAATTTCACCCTTTTTTCTATCTCTTTAATAAAATCACTAGATAGCAACTACTTTCTAACTTGCAAGTTAACGGAAATGTATAATCTATTTATTTTAATAATATATCTCGGTTGTCTAGCGGTTTAGCACACTGCTTTACTTCCGATGGTCGCGAGTTCGATTCCTCGCATTGTGTAAATATTCATGTTCATGAGTATGATTTTTTATATCTGTTCGGGTGTTTTCTATATATATTATGTATGTATTTACAAAAAAATATCAAAGTATTTATAGCAGTTACCGGGTATTAGACCAGTAATACAAGCTCTGGTTACCGTGGTACTAGATGGCGCTGTGTTAATTTTCCAAGTTTATTTTATTATTATTATTTGCAAAGAAAAGCAACAAAAATAGTTGTTTACATTACGTATACAAGTTTCAGCAGTCTAGTAATTGTGACTAATGCTGTAACTGGAGATTACTTTGTTGGTATAGACAGGCCATAAGATAAATTACTCCTTTAGTTATAAAAACGTCAAACATCCAGTAAACTCTATAAATTCCCTTTTAGTTGATCAACTGTTTTGTTCCTTTCATTACACTTATATTACTGAAAGACTGAAAGACTAATAACAAAGAATATGATAAATGGCTATATAATATATTAAATGGATTTGTAAGAACATTTAGTGGTTGAAATTCGAACATGATTAAATAAACATTTAGTAACAATTTGATCTCAGTTTTTTTTTTAACCACTGCGTTTAACAATAAACAAAAGAGTACATATGCATGTGCGTGTCAAATGCATGACAGTATATTTAATGATTTAAAAAACATTAATGTTCTCCCTTCTCTTCTTATCAATACAAAATATAATTGTGCGAAATTTCATTCTCCTCTAAGAGGTTCTAAGTTATTGCTTCACAAACGTTACATATTTTGGATCATCGACTTTAAAGATACATTTCTTAAATCCGTTTTTCCAAATATTTATCATTGTATCTATTATCATTGTATTTGTTATCTATCCAAAATGGCTTTACTGATTTCTATGAATTTTTTAGCGTATATTTTGTAGGTCTGAGAATAGGTCGTAGACTTGTGTATCTAGAAATAATTTATATGGTAAAATAACAGTTGCAGAGTTAACTAGTGTATATCTATATGTGTAATATGACATCACAACTTTATACTCAGCAGTGTAAAAAAAAGTTGTTGTAGTCTTTCCGGTATTTTCTTTTCATATATTTTAATTACATACATGATATTAATTAATTATTAATTGCACTAACTCGTGTACATATAACCTCATTAAGCTGTTATGTAATTTTAATCGGGTCAATAATAATCATGTTTAATTAAGATAAATATTCTCAATCGAGATAAACAGGGCTATAATATACATAATTACATAATTATAATGGCCGATGGGGGTGATGTATCGGCACTATCGGGGCAGAATATTGTCGTCAGTGTCATGACTGACGATTGAGAGTCATGAGACGATTTATAATTATATTATTATTACATATGTATGTTAGTCTATAGGATATTTATAATATGAGCCATTAGTATAATACCACTGGCGTTGCCATTCCGGAGAACTAAGATGTCATGCTTTTCATCATTACATTTCACTGCTTTATCATACTCTTTAATTAAAAGACACCTCACAAAGCAAGCTACTGTAACACAGATGCTTACAATATTTGTTTTCACAGTATACAAACGAGCGGCTCACCTGATGGTAAGTGACTACCGCCGCCCATGAGCAGCCGCAACACCAGGGGAATTGCAAGTGCCTTGTCGGCTTTTAAAGAAGAAATACGTTCATTTATTGAAGGTCTCAATTTTGTGTCGTTTCGGAAAATGTAACACAGTCGATGTTTTCTATTTTTATTTTTATAGCATAGGGGACAAACGTGCTTGGGGCTCACCTGATTGTAAGGGACTACCGCCACCCAGAAGCACCTGCAACACCAGGGGAATTACAAATTTATTCTCGTTCTTCTTAGAAAAAATAAGTTATTTCCTTAAATGTTTCATTATCGTGTTGGATCGGAAATACCATTGCTAATATTTTTTTTTTATTTTATACTTTCCGTTATTGGAAATTAGCTGTTAACCATTAAGTTCTTTAGGTGCATACTTCATTAGGTACTGCTTATATCCATCAGGTACACATCCAGTTATATACCAGAATAATTTCGTAAAATAAAAATTAATTTAAAAAAAATGTGATATTGCTCAGCAATATCGTCTTGTGGCTAAAGAGCATGAAATGGCTGTACACAAGAATATTACACCTGAGCCCTGCCCTTATATGGTGTAGCATATTGCTCATGATATTGTTATTGTTATTACAAAAGACCCATTTTGACTCAATATAGGGCATAATATATGGGTCTTCGTAATAATATTCTTTATTTTCTCTAAGTATATAATATACATAGTTAAGTATATACCTAAAAAATACACATTTTACACAGTGCTATCTAGTTAAGCTAAGCAGAACTTGTGTTATGTGTACTAGAGAACTGATATAAATACTTACACATTTTTTGTTGTTGTAAATACATACATTATATACATAGAATACACCCAGAAGGATACAAATAATTATACTCAAAAATACAAATGTGTGCAATCGAACGAATCTAACAAATCTAATGGAAATGTGAGGAATCGAACCCAGGATCATCGGAAGTAAAGCGGTTTACTAAACCGCTAGACCATCGAGGCCGTCAAGTCTAGATATATAAACATAGATAGATATATAAATCCTTTATCCATTTTTTACAAGAATTCAAAGTCATTGGGTATACCAACGGTTTTAGAGCTCGTAAACTCAACAGCAGATAAAGTTTGTTTTATTAACTTTGGGATTCAAACTCAATCTTAATCTTATCACGAGTACAATGTCAATCCAATGTATATTTCTAAAAGATTTCATAAAGTATCATAATTCTGAAGCCTATGTTTATATAATGAATAAGAAACGTAAACGTAATGTGACCAAACAGATAAATCTCGATTCATATAAGAATTGTATTTAACAAAATAAATTGTTCTACAAAATGATAGATAAGATAACAATATATCAACAACGTAACGTAATAACATGTTGGGAATTCATTTCAATAACTTTTAAACTAATTATTTACTAAGTACTTTCATATTCAATTATCAGTACTGAAACAGTTGAAATGGTATTTATTCCTTTTGTTAAACGTGATTAATTCTAATACACAGTTTTCAACCTTTATATTATTAGAATAACAGACAAACTTACTGAAAGGCACGGACGGTCATCATCATCACCAGCTTCTTTCTCATCCAATTTATTTGGGGTCGGCGTAATATGTTTTTCTCTTTCACGGTATGGACATGTATTGCGAAGTGATGAGGAATATGTGGTCAAAAATGCTTTACAACGGCCCAAATATAAGAGGACATCCTCTTGCTATCTGGTAGATCAAAATAAGAAATTTTATACCGACGGAAAAAAGCCTAGAAACAACCTAGGACAGTGTGTTCTGGCACCACAAAATTAGGAGAGCCGATCCCACATAAAGTGGAATATTGCAAAAAAGTAGATTGAGTGATCAATCAACAAACTATTAGATTAATTAAAAAAAAAAAAACTATTCTTTACTGTTTTACCAGATAAAATATATTTATGTCTACGAGTGGCAGAGGGCATTTCAATTGCACGTATTCCACAAAAACTTATGGAGCGATGGAAGGCTGAGTTCTGCCTGACGGATAAGACTTTAGTTTGACCACTAGGGTTCGAAACCGTCATTTCGATCCCCTAAGTATATTAGGTGTCTCCAAATCGTGTTAAAACGCTAACGTGACGACACGACTCAGACAATGATCAAGTAAGTATTCCACACTCCCCACTCCCTTGGGGGTAGATCGTCTTAGAATAGATTTTTGCACACGTTAAAAAAAATGGTGTCACCAAATAGATTTTATTCTATGAAATCGAACTCACGACCTTATGGAAACAATATATAACGACATTCTTTTTTACTGTTATTGCTTATATTTAATTTTGTTACAGTCGGAATATTGAAAAAAAGGTTTTCCCGCTATAAACTCAATACTACAAGGATGATATGAGACGAAAATTATTATTCGAAGCCATTTTGTGGGAACTATAACTTTTACTACCCCTTTTTATATTTCTTTTCCTCGGTTTCATACCACGAACAATTTTATTGTTTTGATTTATTCGGGCGTTATTTTTATAAATTAATTAATAAGTTCTTTCTTCACTGCAGTTGTGGCTTCTTTGTCAGGACTGCTTTGCGGACTGACCAGTAATAATACTAGATCTACCTATTATTATTCATCCATAAATGATCTATCATGAACATATATTTAATGAGCAAACTATAT